TCTTCTTCCTTTTGGGTGTCCCGTACAGTACATAGAAATCGAAAGGATGCCCAGATGGTTTCCCCAACAAGTCTACTTCGCGATGTAGTTGTTTCAACAGAGTATTGCGCGACACTCCTCTCTTTTTTCTTTCTGCTTCTAGGTCGATTTCTTCTTCAATGTCTGTCATCCCATCATCCTCTCCATCGTTGTAGGCCTCTCTAGAAGTCTGGCTTTCTTCACATACCAGCACGCAAGCTTCTCCTTCGTTGTCCTCCCTCTCTTCTTCTTTTTCTTTATTCTTGAATTCATTGGCCAATAAGTAATTATTGGCCACGACAGGAGGTAACGTGCCAAACTGGATGGTAAGGGGCTGATCTTGATCTTCTCCATCTCTTCTGTCTCGCTCGAACTTTGATCTCCCAGAAGAAGTTTCTGGCAGTTCCTTCATTGATTCATCTGTACCGGTCTCTTCACTATTTTTGAGGACATTTTGATTGGTTACCTTGAGTAATTTAAGCGCTTTAGGATGTGGCACTCCCTGTTGCTGCCTCATCATCCGTCCGTAGTTTCGTTGGAAACGTCTTTGTTGGGTCCTAGTCATCTCATTCTTCCAGTATCTGCTGGCCTGAACTGCCTTTCAAAAGGCGATCCTCTACAGATCTCCCAGAAGAAGTTTCTGACAGTTCTTTCATTGATTCATCTGTACCGGTCTCTTCACTATTTTTGAGGACATTTTGATTGGTTACCTTGAGTAATTTAAGCGCTTTAGGATGTGGCACTCCCTGTTGCTGCCTCATCATCCGTCCGTAGTTTCGTTGGAAACGTCTTTGTTGGGTCCTAGTCATCTCATTCTTTCAGTATCTGCTAGCCTGAACTGCCTTTCAAAAGGCGATCCTCTACAGAATGATGTACCTCGCCCTCTACCAGGTTGAGTGTTTGGGAAGAAGGTAGGGGGATGAGGATGCTGCCATGTCCCTGGTTTCTCCATATTTTCATTCACTTCTCTTTTACACCTTGCACACAGGACGTCTTCGTCCTTTTTTGGTTCTTTCCCCTTGATTCGTTCAAAGACGCTGGGATGTGGTCTAGGATCCTCTTTTCCATCATCTACGACCAACTTGAATTTTGGCAACTTGTTTTTGAATCCAGATGTCACCATGTTTACTCCAAGTGGCTGTGGGAAAGGATTTTCATCCACTGCCATCTTCTTCTTATCATCGAACGTAATTCGTCCTGATTCAATGGCATCCTGCAATACATGGAAAAACCAAGCAATTGTTAGTCAAATGTGACCATGCATTATGCCACTTAAAATATTTTTTACCCTTAATTTGTTCAGGGTTTGACAATTTGTGCTTATCGCTCAACTTTATCTGCTTATCCCTATATAATTTATCAAATATAAGGTCAGCTTTGGTCACGTCGATCGAGAACGTTCTAGCCTTTATGTTTCCATCTTTTATGGGCTCATCTTTGCCCGATGGTCTAGGCTTGGCCATTATGGAACAAGTATATGTATCCCCTTTGACCAATTCGGCCAAACACATTTCGGCCTGATCGTATGACTCGTCGTCGATGGTATGAACGTCAAAATTTGGGTCTTTGTAATAAGTCCCTTTACTAGAATTTTTCATTTGTTCTTCCTCTCTTATCAGTCGCTCATACCTAATCACATTCGCACTCAACTGGAAAAGATCAGGAAATTCCTTGTCCTGAAATTTCTTCTTTAAATCAAAGCTCAAGCAGCCCTGAGCGATTTTGACAAATTCTTTTTCGGGCAGAGGTACAAAACACTTGCTTCTTGCTGTCTTGAACCTTTGGAGAAAACTTTCTGCCCATTCGTTTGGCATTTAACGTAGATTCGCCAAATCAGCCAAAGTGACTTCAGACTCAATTTTATAAAACTGAGCGTGAAATAACTGTTCCAATTGTTGCCATGTTGGAACAGAGTTCGCTGGCAAGTTAATGAACCAGGAGAAAGCTACTCCTGTTAACGAACTAGGGAAAAGCTTCATTTTATGGTAATCAGTTACATCACCACTTTGCAATGTGAATCGCCCTATGTGTTCTAGAGTAGACACCTCTCCTAAATCGGTAAACAGTGAGAACTCTCGCACTTTGTACCCTCTAGGCCATGGACATGCTTGGTCTACCCAATCAGGATATGGCTTTGTGTACGTCGGCCTAATGACGAGACGCACCCCAAAAGCCATATGATCCTGTACGATTTCCATAATCTGATTCCTCAACATGACGTTGGGATCATATGGAATTCCTACAGGCTGATTAACCGGTTGATTTGCATGAGACCTAATGTTTGGTCCTTGATTGACAACAAAATTACCATAACATCTATTCCCTCATTAACACGTTGGGTGTGCTGTCCATTGTTTAGGACATTATCTCTTAAGTTTGGATTACCCCCCAAGTTAGGCGTACCACTACCATTGTTTTGATTTGGCACTGCAGTACCTCCTTGGTTTGAAGTAGAGGGACCAGAAAGTGGTTCTACCCCTTGATTCGGATTTAGGACTGAGGGATTATGTCCCACAATTGTCCTAATTTGAAAATGATTTGCAAAGGGTATAGCCGGTTGACATAATTGGCCTACTAACTTATTCATTGTTTCGTTCAAAGTATTTAGTTGTTTGGCCATATTGTCATAGTGTGCATTTCCATTTTGGG